ACAAGATCAGAAAGCATCAAATACTTAAGATGAAATAAAAAATACACCTAAGGGTTATATTGGCAAGTTATACAACATTATTAAGAAAAATTAAAGATACTTCCATTAAATGGGGATAGTCCATGGATTAGGAATGTTATTGTGATAAATACATCAACTCTCCTCAAAGTGATCTAGAAACAAAATGTGGGCCTAAAGAAACCATAGCTGGATTTCCTATGATAATTAACAAGTGGATTATAAAATTAATGTGGAGCAGGAAGTGCCACTAAGAGTCATAGCATAGTGACAAACTTTCATAAGAACGAGGTGGAAGAATTCACTCTATCAGGCAGAAGACATGCTATATGACTTCAACGACTAAGACAATGCTTTGTTAGGTGATAGCAAAGAGGCCAAAGGAAGTGAGAGACACACAAGCCACTCAAGGCAATGATGTCATAAGGAAGGGGATTAGTGTCAGACACATAGACACTCAAGGCAATGATGCCACTTACACAACACTGAGAATGCTTTCTTCAACAAATGCTGCTTAGAAAAACACAACCTTAACCGAAACCCCAAATTAGCATTTGGTATACTATCTAAGTGTAAGGGTCTAACAAAAAGACTTGAGGAATTGAAATAAAACACTTATAATTCTGGTATGGAGAAAATTTATCAAACAGCATATAAAAGAACCATAATCACAAAGAAAAAGACTGATAAATAAAAATTTACATCTAAGAACAAAGGACAATGCTACAGGGATGAGAAGACAAGCTGTGGGGGAGGGGACAGGCTGATGGTGACAGCCGGAGTATATTAGCATCTCCACCAGGTAACTAAGACAGATGACCCAGTGGGTAAGGAGACAGCTCAGTCCACAAAGTACTCGTTACACACACATGAGGACTTGAGTTTGATGCCCAGAACCCAAGTAAAAGCTGGGCATGTTGATACCTGCTTATAACTCTTCCAGTGGGGAGGCAGAAGCAGGAGGATTCCCAGAGCTTGGCCAGACAGCCTAACCTAGTTGCCAAACTCCAAGTCAGTGAGAGACACTCACAAAACAAGGTGGGTGGTAACTGAGAAATAGAACCAAAGTTGACCTCTGGCCTTTACATATATGTACACATATGTATATACAAGCATGCTTACAAGCGCGCACACTCACATACCAAAATACTTCAAGACGTCATAAAAGGTAGTACCCAAACAATTACTATATGAGGAAATATTTTCATTAAAAATGAGGAAAATGTGAACCGAGACTCCAAACTCTCAGAATGTCACCCACCAGCATGGCTAAAGACGGACATTGCCTGCTGCAGCCTGAGGAGCTGCTGATGGACACATAAGTGGATCCAGGACTCGGAAACCTGTGCGCATGCGCACCTCAGCTCCTGCATCCAGACCCAAACGACGTATGCACCCAGACTGCACACGGGGACATCTGGAGCTATGCAGGCCAGGGCCTTCCTTAAAGAGCGAAAACCCGGGCCAAACTCAAGGTCGCCAGCTATGGGACAGCACCAGTCCCTGATGGGTGCTGCGTGACAAATCATGCAGCAAGGCCACTGTCTCCTGCACACAAAGACGCATGACGTGGGCAACAGAAACCAGCCCTGCAACACAGATAGAACGTGTATGGTTCTATTTTTATAAACTTCAAAAGTAAGATGACTTTACGTACGAGGCCAGAAGTCAGGATAGTGCTCAACTTTGCCAGAAGACAAAGGGGACGTTTTGGCAGAGACAAGAGCTAGGCGTTGGGGGTGGGGGTGGGGGTGGGGGTGGTGTTCCTTCAATTGTTTGTAAATTTCTCTTAAAATCTTTTCTATACGTGATCCACATAAGAAATCTTCATCAGTTAAGCCCTTGCAGTAACGTAGTGTTAAGGGGGAGCAAATGACTTAGAAAGCAATATTGCAAGAGCGCAGGGGACAGAACAGTGCCGCTACAGAGCGCAGTAGGCTCGGCTGGCTTCTCTGGAATGAAGAAGTAAAGGAAACCCATGATGGCTAAATAAGAAAAACGGCCATGAGGTTGCTCAGGGAGATCTCAGTGCGACCGAGGTGCCGAGCACAGCCGCTCCAAACTGGAGCAAGCTTCCACCTACACACTCAGCGACCTTGCACCACTTTCTTGCCTGAAGATAGTGTGTGAATAGGAGACTGCTCCCGTGTTCACGGACACAGCACATGCATGGCACCATTCTGGCTCTGCCCTCCGAGTCCTCTGCCTGGATCCAATGAGGGTGTTCATTAATTAATCCGTGTGCTTTTGCAAAGACAGAAGCACATTCATAATTATTGTCTACCTGCGTCTAAGAAAATATAATTGCAAAGTAAAAAATAACAATCTTCCCCAGAGCTGCTTCCTCAGACAACCTAATTAGGGATTAGGGTTCTTCCCCCAGAGGCTTGTCTGTGAACTCTCCAAGTGACCTTAGAGAGATTTCATGTAGTTAAAGGCCGCTGATCTTTCTCAGTTAAAACATTAGCATCATTTGGACCCTGATTCTTTCTTTGGGATTATCACCATTCTCTAAGAAATATTTAAAGTTTACCTGTTTTATTTTCTTGTCAAAGCAAGTTCATAGTGAGATGGATCTTCAAGAACTGGGCACTTTCCTTCCCTTGCAATTTAGAATCTGGTATCTGGTATCTTATACCTAGTCTTTCAAATTGGTATTTTATAATTTGTTGTAACTCATTTTGATTTTTTTTCTTATATCTGCATTTTATATGTGTATGTGTGTGTGAGGGCATTAGATCCACTGAAGCTGGAGTTACACAGGGTTGTGAGCTGCCACGTGGGTGCTGGGAATTGAACGCAGGTCCTCAGGGAGAACAGCTGGTACTCTAAATCACCAAGCCATCTCTCCAGCTCAACTTGTTTTGACTTTTTCAACCACTTAAAAATGTATATGGTTGTGCATGCCTGTAGTCCTAGCATTTGGGAGGCTAAGGTAAGGGGTACAAGAACTCAAAGTCAGCCTGTCTTTTAAAACAGAAAGAAAGAAAAGCTGGATGTGATAGCACATGCCTTTAATTCCAGTACACAGGGAGGCAGAGGCGGGCGGATCTCCCGGACCAGTCTACAGAGCAAGTTCCAGGACAGCGAGGGCTGTTACACAGAGAAACCCTGTATCAGAAAAAAGGAAAACCAAAATAAACCAACCGGCCAGACTCCCACTCCAAAACTACAAAAACCCAGATGTAGGTCACACAGGGCCCACAGGTTTGGAGGCCCGTTTAGAACCTTTGCTTATATGTTAACTGACCAGGCTACAGAACCAACTGCTTGGAGAAGGCAAATTTGTGGTGGAGAGAATTAGACAAAATTATACTATATCCTGTTCTAAAATTCCATTTCTATTTTACGGATATCTGAGCATTCCAATTCAAACTATAATACCATTTTTTTTAAAAAAAAACTGTGTGGAAAACTAAGGGTTAAATATTACCCTCTGATGGGGAATATTGAGCCAGAAAGCTTATTTTCCGGCGTTCCAATTCAAGGTAACATCTAGAATCATACAAAATTTCTCATAACCAGCTGCTGAGATTAATACTTTAAAAGATGCTATTGATATTGTCTATTTCTTTTAGGAATTATAACCACAAATTTTTGAAGCTGCCGAGTACAAGATTTCATTAATAACGTATTTTCGTCCACGCTGTGCCTCACGCTAGTCTGCTGAAACTCTGTGTTCCCAGTTATTTGCGACACATAGTCATTTGAATAATCCAGTGTCTAAACGAGGACTGGTTTCTGCCTGTCGAAGACCTGAGCCAATCTACAATAAGCATGTATTTCTTCATTTCACCACTGATGTTTACTTCAATTTCTGGTAAGTGACTAAACTAAGTGCCTTAAATCAAGCATTGTCATACATTTCCAGATACCCAGACCAAAGGGAATTCAAGACAGATCTGAATAACTTTAAAAGCTTCCATTTTAGGGTGTTCAACTTTTTTTATAATTGATTGTTTTTAAATTGGCTCTTCTTGTGACCACTCAATTAAAATTCACTGAAAGACCCTGGTCTCTCTCTCTCTCTCTCTCTTTCTCTCTCTCTCTCTCTCTCTCTCTCTCTCTCTCTGTGTGTGTGTGTGTGTGTGTGTGATGGTTCATGCCTAAAATCCTAGCACCTAGGGAGCTACAGCAGGAGGTTTGGAGCCTGGGCTACATGAGGCCCTGTTTAAGAAAAAATACTTTAAAAAGAATTACCTATAATAACTTAAAGGTTTACTTTTAATTATGTGTGTGTCCATGTGTGGGTTTGTGCGTGTGGGTGTAGGGCCCTAAAAGGCTAAGAAAGTTCCTGCTGTGAGACGTCAGATGGGGGCATTATGAACAGAACTGGTGTCTTCTGCAAGAGTGATACACACTTTTAACCACAGAACCATCTCTCCAGCTTAATCTGTAATTTTAAATTACTACTACTACTACTACTACTATTATTATTATTACTATTATTTTGAGACAGGAAAATACTGTGCTGTCCTTGCTGGCCTGGAACTATGTAGACCAGGCTGGCTTCTAACTCACACAGATCTACCTGCCTTAGCCTCCCTCTCGAGTGCTCCGATGAACGGCATGTGCCACCACACTCAGCCCATCCTTGATGACCTAATGACATGATATAGTTATGTTTTGCCATATTAACTATCATAGATGGCATCTGCCCCGTGAGAATGCACACTTGGGTGAGCATGCTAAATGGGAGTATTTGTCTACACAGTTTTGTAACTGTCTCACAAGTCACAAATAAAAATACTATTTTCTGAAATTTTCCTTGTTTCATACTTGGTGTTAATCCCAAGGAGAGAAAACATGTGTGTTGAGAACTTTAACAACGGTAAGTATCCCACACATGTGCTGCAGTGTTGTTTGTTTTTAAAAAATGTCACAAGGAATGACATCAAGTATCCAGATTAGGAAATGAGTTTTGGAAAGATCCTTGGGTATTAACTGGCAATGGCAGCTGGATGAACTCAGGACCATATAACTCTAAAACCAAATTGGTTTTTATTATTTTGAGATATGTTTTCCAAGAAGAAGTGACAAAGAGCCCCGGGGGTCTGCAGGATGGGCTGACAGGAGCTTTTGAGTGGCAGAGAATACTTTGGTGGGGTCTGTGGACATATCTGAGTTGAGATGTGCCACATTATCTTGTTCTAAGAAGGAACCTCAAATCCAGTTCTGGGCTAATTTTCGTAAATAACACTGTGGGGACTTGTTGGCCCTCCAGAGCCATTGTGCCGTGACTGTGGCTGAGCCCTAGGTCCCGGGCATTGTGGCATCTCCAGTCATTCATGTCTCTCCCCAGTCACTGTAGCAAGGAAAGACAGAGCAGTGTGCCACTCACATCAGAAGTGACACACCAGTTCTTCATGGCTCATTGACTAAACAAGTCATGTGGCCATGCTTATTGTACAGGGTGGAAAGAGAAATCCTGTGAGCTCAGCAATGCAGAGACGAAACTCGTAAACAACAGAGAAGGTCGGGATTCCATCCGGTGATTGACAAGGGGCTTGGACCTAGAGAGGAGTGGAGGGATGAAGCTGGAGATGTGAGGGAGTGGAAGCATGCTCACTCATATTGGGGAGACAAACCTTCTGCTGAGGATTCACACATGAAATCGTCCGAGATTGAAGCTGCCAAAATAGCTGCAGAGTTGTCTTTGATGCTAGGGGTCTTTGAGGTGATCACAAATGGGACATGCCCAGAGCAGTGTCTGAGGAGGCTTGGTTTGCAGTGAGGGTGAAACAGGAAGAGCTGCTAGGATTAGACAAAAGGGTGGACTATGAGCAAGAAGGGAGTGTTCAGGGTAACGCCAGGGTCAGAGATGAGCCTCTGAATCAAGCGTTGAGAGCAAGTGGCAGCAGAGGAAAGGAAGGTTTGGCAAGGAGCCCAGGAGCTCAGAGTAGGGGCTGCAGGAACATGGCATTTGGTAAGGATAGGTGAGAATGCACAGCTTAAAAAGGTACAATACATAATGTGTCAAATTCATTAAACTTACTGGAAAGAAAACAATTAGGATAACACAGCCCACTCCTTTCCAAAGCACAAAAGAACACAGCAAGATATTACAGCTTCCTACAGTTTAAAGTCCTGCAAAGACTTCAGAACTTTACGGCAATCTTCTCAACAAATGGCAGTTCCAATGCAGTGCCTTCTAGTAATTAAAATGAAAAGATGTATAAGGTAAAATTTAATGATTTTCCTCTTTTCTATGTGGTGCTTGTACGCAGTTTTCCCTCAAGCGGTCAAGGTTTAAATCTAGAACTGATACTTATTAGTGTCTTATCTCAAACAGATACTTGGAAAACAATCTGCAAACCTTCCTCGGATTTGACCTTGTAGCAGCTCAGGAGGGCAGTTAATGCCTGTCTTCCTCCTTTATCTCTGCGTGAGGAAACTGTTTATAGTCCTAGGGTGTCAGAGGTAGATCGCAAACCTGGGAATTGTGGCTGTGGGCTAGTGCTGCACCTGATCACGTGTGTGCATGTTCAGTGCTGGAGTGGAGACAGGCTCACCTGAGCAGAAGGAAACGTGTGACCTTGGAAACTCTCAAGGTCAGATGTAATCTGAAAATTCATTTTGGCTGTTGATTCTCCATGCCCACCCACCTCAGACTCACTTAGGGAGACTTGAAACTCAGATTGCTGGCCTCTTCCTGAGAGTCTCATGTGCTATGCTTTGGATTATGTTGAAGGTATAATTGTTAGATTTAAGGCATTTGAAATCATATACATATCATATACAATTCGCTTGTTTTTGAGACAAAGTCTCTCTATGTAGCCCCTGGCCTTGATCTCATACTCCTTATGCTCCTGAGAGCTAGAGACACAAGCATGCCCCACTATTCTCAGCTTTCCTTCTTTACTTTATCATTTCTTAGCCCTCTCCATGGTACCTTTTTGTGTATCTTTCTTTTTGTTAGGTTTTCATGGCAGGGTTTCTCTGTAACAGTTCAGCCCTGGAACTCACTTTGTAGACCAGACTGGCCTCTGCCTCCCAAGTGCTGGGATGAAAGGCGTGCGCCACTATTGCCCGGCTTCATGCATTTCTTTAAGATTCCTAAAACGTTTATTTTTAAGCTCTTTTCAGCATATTAGTCTTATTCCTCTGGAGTGAATGTCTCTCTAGATTGTTGATTGTGATGGTCTTCTGACAATCTCTTCATGCACTTTAGGAATTTCTGGTTTGGTAGCTTATATGACTCTCAGCAGTCTCTTTGCTCAGTTTCTCTCTTGCTAGGAAGGGCCGTGACTAAGGGAACATACTGTTGGCATGGGTGGATGAAGCCGATTCATCCACTTGATGGGCTAGCATAGTTACCGGTAAGAAGGCTGTATTGGTGGCTTCTCTCCTGATGATGCAAGTCACACCTGCATGCTGTACTTGCAGTAGCTTTCTCCTTCCCAGCACGCTTAGCCAGCATTCCCTTTTGCAATGTCCCAGTGTCCAGTAGGACTCCATCGTCAGCCCCTTCTTGCCATCTTGTATGCCCTTTCAGAAAGGGATGGTCAGCCACGTCCCGGCTGCTCCCATTATTCGACACCCACATTTCCTCTTCATTCTTGGTGCATGTCTAGGACAGATGTGTGTGGCGGAGTGTTTCAGGGCACACGTTCATAACACCATTGTAACAGAAGGCCAGAGTCAAGTTCCCACTTCTCGTGGCCTTAAACGAAAAAGTCAAAGACACTTTTTTATTTATTTATTATTTTCGAGACAGGATTTCTCTATAGTTTTGGTGCCTGTCCTGGAACTAGCACTTGTAGACCAGGCTGGCCTCGAACTCACGGAGATCCGCCTGCCTCTGCCTCCCTAGTGCTGGGATTAAAGGCGTGCGCCACCAACGCCCGGCTTCAAAGACACTTTTAAAATGTAAAGTGGCATTGCATTTTCAAAAGAAAGCAGAAACCCTTTTCATCTCATATTTTTGATCTACAGACATACTAGTACACACACACACACACATATTTATATTTTAGGGAACATTCTTAGACATACTCGCAGAGTTCCACAAACAAGGTTTTCTCAACACTGCTTTTGTTCCTCTAATTGTTAGTATTGGTAAGGCATTGTAAAATGGCATCTACTTTCGGTTGATATGTACTTTTTATGTCTATAATAAAATTTGATAAATATGGTGGCCTGTTCCAGCAGGCTACACTGAGAAGGCAGAGGCTGGACAGGGCTACACCTTGGGAAGCCAGGTATTGTGGTGCACACCTTCAATCCTCATGTGCAGGATGCAGAGGCAGGCAGAGCTCTGAGAATTGGAGGTGGGTCTTGTCTTCATGGTGAGTTTGAGTTTCAGGTCACCCAGGGCCTAGTGCTTGCTAGGTTTCATACCGAGACCTTGTCATATTAAAAAAAAAAATAAAGGGTTTAATGGGAATTTGCATTTTAGAATATCAGTTTTTCAGCGAAATTATATATATCCCATATATGAAATATTATGCCTATGTATAATTTTTACTAGAAAAGAGCATGCAATGTACAAAATAGTAGTTGATAAATCTGCGTATTCACAGTATCTTTCTTGTTCTGTTACAGAGCTTGTGAAGATTTGCTGTAGGAATCCAGTTTACTGCATGGCTTATCTACGCAGTACTTTTATGTTTTCAGTACTGGGGAATGAACACAGGGCCTACTGCTTGCTAGGCGTCTACTCCACCACTAGGCTCTGTTTTGGCAGCTTGTTTTGCCTGTCCACACCAGGTCGGAGGTGAAGTCATACGAACAGTGTGTGTAGATTAAACCTTTTATGATCAATTCCCACTGCACCTCCCTTTTTCTTGAGACAGGGTCCTACCACAGAGCCCTGGCTGGCCTGGCAGGTTTACCCGTGAGTCAGAGTTCTGCCTGCTGGGATGAAAGGCAAGCATCACCAGTTCCTGCTTCTACAAACATTTTCTGTCACAATTCTTTGTGAAAGCAGCTTTCTGGAAATTTTACTAGGTAATCTAAAATATGACTAAATAACAAGCACATAGAAATATGATGAAATAGAGTTGAAAGATATGTTTATTAAATAAAGTAATAGTGTCTATGGAAACCTAATTTCTAAATTCCTTCCTTTCTTCTTCCCTCCCTTCCCTCGTTTCTTGTTTCAAGAAACTAACTGACATTGACCTTCCTAGGCGGTAGGTTCTGAAAAGGAGTTAGCTGTTTGGGTTTCATAGCTAACAAGCTGGAACCACTCTCCTGTGTAGAGGCTTCTGTGGACGGCAGTCTACACCAGCGTGCTGGGGCTGCCTTTGCTTTTCTTATACCTTTTACCTGTGTGTTCTGTTTAAAGAACATCCTCTGGATTGATTTATTCACTAGAATGGTTTGTAAGTTGGCTTGCGCAGTTATAAACCCACAATACTTCAACACTGTACTAACTTGCCAAAGTATGGAAGTTACTGGTAGCCGAGTGATCTGCTGGTCATGAAACTTAGTTGCTCTGTTTGAGTCGTTTGCTTTTCTCAGATGCATTAATCTTGTTCCTGGTTCTACTTATTTTCTGGGACTTGTGCGAACTGAGGCAGAAAAAGGTTTACTGCATATTGTTGGTTGTAGAATTTTGTTTTAAAAAGTACTTTATTAAAAATAAAATTGAAAGGTCTAGGGATGTAGTTCAGTTGGTAGAGGACTTGCCAGGCATAAAGAAAGCCAAGTGTTCAAACCCCCAGTACCTAATAAGCTGGAGGTGGTGACACCCCCCCACAGTCTTACTACTCTGGAGGTACTAAGGGAGGAGGTCAGACGGTCAAGGTCATCTTCGACTACTAGCAAAGACAAGGCCAGCCTGAGATACATGAGCCTGTTAAAAAAGAAAGAAAAACAAAACAAAAAGCTAAAATTTGGTTAGAAATTTAATAAAAATTAGTACGGATGGTTCTTATTCTTTAGTATATAGCTATTTTAACACCTTTAGAAGGGAAAATTGGGAGCTAAATATAAAGTAGAAACAAATTTCAAAACCGATCAGCAGATTATAAAGTCAGCCTCATCCAGGGCAGCCTTCTCTGGCGTCGGCACAATCATCCTTCACTGATTCTGTTTCTGTACGGATGTGGTTAACAGAACTCATAGAATCTTGGGCTTTTCTTCCTTCTTTTCTATATCACGCCATCATGCATGACCAGTGATCGTGCTATGAACCAAAAGGGATCATGATTTTATTTTTACACATCATTTGACTTTCTTTATGTGCAATTCTTTTTCTGATACTGGTGACAGAACCCAGGGTCTGGAGTGTTAGGAACCTCAGTACCACTCAACCACAGCCTCAGTAAGCCCTGATTTTGAGACATGCTTTTCCTAAGTTGCCTAAGAATTTGCAATTTTCCAGCCTAAGTCCCTGTCCCCTCATATTCAGGTTATGGATTATTACTATCATGACTGGCCATATCTGTTTATTCTTACATGGGATATCACAACACATGATTCAGAGTATTATTTTGGTGCCTTTTTCTTGAACTTATATAAGTCCTGATCTTCCTACCCCACATCCCTATTCTTGGAGCAGAGGCCTGGGCAACCACTCCCCACTTATCCTTGTGTCTCAATGACAATTACTGGAGGAATGGCTCAACCTAAATTTTTTTTTTTTTTTGGCTAAACACAAAATAGTTCTTAGAGCATTTGTGACTGAGAATCACAGGTATTCTGTATATTTCAAATTGCTTTTAAGCCTTTATCAATAAACTAATGAGTTACTATAAATTATAGTTTGGGAACCAATTCACTGCTCAAGATGATATAGATGGAGCCTTTAAGTAAACCAGAATCCAATGATAACTGACAGTGACTTAGAGCCATCTGTAACCCTCCATTGTACAGCAGTTTGTCTATGTGCACGCATCACACACACACACACACACACACACACACTCCCCATAAAAACAACTCTGCGGAGTCCATACTTGATTTCTAGCAATACTGGATTTTCCCTTTAGCAACACAGTACCACGGACATTAGTTATCTAATTGCTAGCTTTGCAAACTAATTCTGTAAGAGCCAGTCATCGGTCGGCAGGAATAAAGCTCTTAACTGCCAGAATCAGTTTACACTGCTGCTATCAGTAGGAGCTACATTTTGTGTGTGTGTGTGTGTGTGTGTGTGTGTGTGTGTGTGTGTGTAGACTGGTGAGGGTCCTGAGCTGCACGGCCTCCAGGGAACTCATCGCAATAAAAAAACGAGTCCACACAGAAGCAGGAGAACTTAAAGACACAAAGAAACGGAACACCAGGACAGGAAGACACATCTGCACACATATGCTTCCCTGCAAACCATCCCTCTTTAACTTCCAGCAGGGGACGAGGGGTCTATTGAAGAATTCATTCCCCATGGCACGAGTTCAACGCCGGGCTCCTGGGCTGAAAAGCGTCCTTATGTAGCTCTGCTGTGTTAGGGCCGTCGCAGAGCAGACAAAGCATGGGGGGCAGATGCTCTTCTCTCTCCAACTGGCAGAGAGAAAACACATCTTCACACTGGAAAGGGCAACAGCGAACAGAAAGAGGCCGAGTCAAATAGGGCGTATCACTTTTCAGCCTCGGTGAAGGAAGGCTCTTCCTTCCAGCAGGTCACAGAGAATGCCAGAATCAATTTTACCTGGATGAATGGGGGGTAAATAGCTCTTTCGGGATATGCTCTCCAGCGAACAAATATTTTTGGCAGGGAGGAGGGCATGAAAAAGACAAAGAAACAGACGTCTATAAAACCCACAACACTTGCTGTTGAAGTTTTACGTTTCTAGGTTCACTGGGACGCTTTAAAAGATTTATAAAAAAACCCAAAAAACAAAGAACAACTCACGCTAATGTCCTCCCTGTTCTTTAACTCTGGTCCGCTGTCTCCTCCTAGGTGGCATGCGCTCCCCGGAGACACAAAGGCCGCTGCCGCTCCTTGCCCAGGGTTGAGGAATGCGGGGGATTCAAACAGCACCCGGAGCCGGAGGAGGACTCGGGAAAACATTTGCACTGACGCTCACCCACAACCATAATAATTTATCTTTCCTCCGGAGAAAGGTCAGCATGCATCTGACCCCGGCAGCCAGCGCACCCCCAGGGGTCAGGGCCGCGGCGGGATGGCCAGCCAGTTCCGCCGGCCGCGCTTGCCCACGCCCACC